GATCGATAAAGACTTTGTTATTCCAATCTATGTTGTAATAAAGGTTTTAGAATTTAGTAGCATATATGGTGGCTAAATATGATTCTTATTGTAATAATAGAAGTTTTGTCTCTGCTATTTTTTTTCAATAATTTTTTTTAAATATGGCTATAAACACTTCTTAGAATTATTTTAGATTATAGAAGAGTCATGAATCATCTTCTATCAAAGATTCAAACTAAAAGAGAGCACTTCCATATAAAATTGTATATATGAATCTAGCTCGTGTAAATTCATTAAGGTAGTAGAAAGGATGCTATCTTAGATAGAACTTGATTTGTTGTAGAAATCCTTAAAATTTTGATCTTATTCCAGCAAAATTCTCTAATTTATTGATCCTTGCTTCTTTTATTCTTATAGTAGCAAGATTTCTTAGATTCAAGAGTGAAGATTAATATACTTACTTCTTTCAACTGCATAACTTCTTAACATAAACATTGCACTTCATTATTGACTTCTTGGCATAGGAATAGTATTTCTATAGTTGGTATTGGTAATATGTGAGATTCTAATTCTAAGAGTGTTGATAAGCTTGTAAAGATCTGCAATACTTACAATTTTTTTTTTCATTTATTATATCATCTTTAATTTTTCCTTCCATCTTTATAATATATAATTTCAAAGCACAAAAATTGAAGTAATTTAATCTATTTAATTCTAAAAAAATAATAATTATGAATTAATAATCTTGTCAAATTATCTAGAGCATAAATTATAAATAATAAAAATCTTAATATACTCTTATGTCACTAAAAAAGAATAGATATTTACTTAAAAGTAGTATAGTATTAAAACTAGAATGGCTATTACCAAAGATATGAAGACTAGAGACTCTTGAAACAAGACTAAGAAAAAAAAAAGATGTTGACAAGAGTCAAGAAGGTTTCATTCTTATTTCTATATATACTATCTAATTAAAAGTTATATGGCAATGTTCTGTAAGAACTCTATCACTTGTCTAACTTTTAAGCTATGTATTTCATACATATGCTTTACATAACCAACATCGCCAATATATAAGGTATATGACTAACTTATTGGCTAAGTTTCCAACCTACCAACTAACTGCAAATATGTATAAAGTCAATTGTGTGTCTATGAAAATTTCACAAAACTTCTCTATAAGATGTTATTAAATATACTTACATTTATTTTTTACCTAATATTTTTATTTAGATAATTATGTATATTTGTGAAAAATGATTATTTTGATTGCAAATGCAGATAAGCAAGGCATACTATTGGCATTTAAGAAAACCATAGTAAATTAAAATTGCTTAAGTACAAGGATAAGAGCATGTATCAATACTCTCTTTACTATATTTTTGAAAAAAATAATGTTGTAATAGTGGTATACATGAATGTATTTTGAACTTTCTTATGCTTTAATCTTTGTAATTATATTATTGAAAATATGAGAGCATGATATATATATTTCAAAAATCTTTAGTAAAGACATTGATATATGACTTCAATGTAGAATATTGACCTTCTATATGTGATGCGGTCATATATCTAAGGTGTAGAATAATATTTATTGAAGCTTTTATAAATTATTTCTTATATAATATCCAAGTTTTTTGTAGATACTTAATAATCCTATGGGCCTTTGCATGAAAAAAACTTAGTGCAAATATTCATCCATTCTATATTAAAAGCTTCTCCTAAAGACGAATTCATCACATTGGTCCAAATTGTAAGAAAATTGGAACAATCTATTTCTTTCTTAGATGCAAAAAACTTGTAGTTGGCCATCACATTCTTTTGAATGTACGAAACACAAAGAAATGCAATTAATATAGAAATTAAATCTTCAATAGTATTTATTAATACCAAATATAAAATAATATAATTAATATAAAAATTAATTATTTAATAGAATTTATTAATGCTAAATCTTTGCTAATACCATTGATAAAGGAAAAGGATTTTGTACAACTAAAGAAATTGTATTAATGTCTAGAAAAAGAAAAATTCAATTCTTTCTTAAAAAAATATAATTATAATAATAAAAGATGTGTTAAGACTTATGATTCCCACTACTTGTAATATAGATATCTTAAATTTGTTAGTTTTGTACATTGTCGCATTGTAATACAACTATATGGTGAAAGATGATAATATGGATCTTATTATAGAAGAGCCAAATTAAAAGATAAAGTAAAAAATTATGGATAAAAGATAAGAAGGTAGTAAAACTTTTCGTAGTAATACTACCTTTTAAGAAAAGTGACTTCTATTTACTTTGTAGGGCCATAAATAAGAAAAAATAAAATAGATTAGAAAAATAAAAAATATAGACATATGTAGGAAAGAATTAGGAGTTGGTTTTAAAAAACATTACTTAGAAAAACTATATATTGATATCTAGAGAAGGCCGGTTATGAATCTGGGTTGAAAACAAATCCTAAGGCACAAAGCCAAGTCTCGACATTAATTTGGAAGTTCTTTGGTTGTTTGGAGAGTAGGATTTGAGATGAGACTTGATAGGATTTCTATAGGCATTGATTTTGAGGGATTTGGGTAGATAATGACTTTGTAAAAGCTTTACAAAGTCGATGTTGTTTTCAGTGACTCTAATTTTTGGAAAATATAATAGGATTGACGTTTTGAGAAATTTCAAGAGTTTGGTAATAGATCTATAAGTGAAATTTTTTAAGTTTGTGGGTGTAGTTGTGCTTGATGTGTGTTGTGAATTTGAGTTTGATTGAATAGTTAGATTAAAAAGCATGAAGGTTTTTGTGGATTATGGTCTTAGAATTTAGGATTTTGAAGATTAGTGAGATTTTCTTAGGTATTTGTCAATCCACCAATTAGATTGAGGCAATTTTTTTACAAAGGTAGTCAACTTGATTTCTAACAAGTATATAAATTTTGGAAGCAAAGTAATAGTTCAATCAAGAGTAATTGACTCTAGAAGATTGGCATCAAAGTCGGAGAAGGAGGCTGGCTGACACTCAAGCACATTTTTGAGGTTATCATCTATTTAGTAATTCAAATCCTTTTCAATTTTTTTTGTACTTGTTTTCAACTTAATTGTTAAGAAGTATGTAAAATTTTAGTTAAAATCAATGGTTCATTCATTAGTTATTGAGGTTTAAATCTGCTATAGGAATTACTTGGAATTGATTAGGATTCAATTTACGAGTTTGATTAGGGTTAGGATTAGGATTTTGGATTTGATTTAAGGTTTGGTTAGGATTTATTTAGGATTTGTCTAGGATTTGGTTAGGACTTGTTTAGGATTTGATTAGGATTTGATTAGGATTTGACTAGGATTTGTGTAGGATTTGGTTAGGACTTATTTAAGGTTTGACTAGGTTTTGACTAGGGTTCAATTAAGGTTTTTATTTTAATTTTTTATTAAGATTTTTATTTTTTTTTATTTTTTTATTTCTATGTTATTTCTTTATAATTTCTTTAAAGAATCTTTAAAAATTCTTTGTGTTTCTTGTATAATTCTTTTGAAATTTTAATTGAATTTGATTGTTATTTGATTATATTTGTTAATATTTAATTATAATTTATTTAAGAATCTATTAGAGTTGTTAGAACTTGTTGTTGCAATTTTCCTTTTATCTTCCACAACTAGGTGCCCGATGCATTCTGAAGCCAAACTTCACGTGATACAACAACGTACAATCCATAATAATATTATGCAAATATCTCTTTGGAAGTTTGATACATCTGAGATGAGCTAAAAAAAAAAAAAAAAAAAAAAAAAAACTTATCTTATTTGTTCTATTGCACTTATAGTCATATTGGTATCCAATATCACAAAGAGTCTTAATAAGAGTATAAATATGCAAACAACCACTAAGATTAATTTCATAAAGATATTGGTGCTTATTGTAGATAATGCAAGTAATTACTTAACTTAAAGGATTTCCTTTGTATTTTAGAATGGAAGTGTCCAAAATTAGATAATGCCACCTCTCTCTAGATTGTAAGAAGAGCATCAAATAATTGCAAGATTTTAGTTATGATAGAATAAGATAAGTAGGCAAAGAGTTGAAGAAGCTTAGAGCAACAATAAAAAAGGCAAAATCATGATTATAAAGACATAGCACAATATTGTTATAATTTATTGTAAAGTATTATTACCATTCATATCTTTATGATTGTACAATTTCTATACTTTAATAACCATAATTGTATCAATCCAACTTTTGATGATAATTATGATGGTAAAGAAGAGCTAAAGAATCTATGTATCAATTAGTAATGATGGGTGGGTCAATTTAATAAATAATTTGAATAATTTAACAAATCTTTACAAATATTATTAATTAGAATATTAATAGCACATTATAAAAAATTATGGTTGGTATGGCCTTAAATATTAATAACAAAATATTGTACTGTTATTTTGATTTTACTTCATGAATTAAAGTAGTGAAAAACCATTACTATTGAACATAATTAATATAAATAAAATAAACTTAAATACATAATAACAAATGAATCATAAAATACACAAAAAGCACATATACAAATAAAAATATACATTTCTTTTCCAAAATTTTAATTTCTTAGCATCTTTTGTGTATATATATATACATTTGTCATTATGTTTGTGTGCATATAAACAAATATTTTTCATTTTTCTTGTTGAACATTATAAATGTTTGTGGAGGTGACAGAAACCATTAAAAATAAAATACAACAATCACTGGGCACAGATTACTTAACATCTTTTAAAGCAAAAATATTTCATGGTCTGTAATACAAGTGAATGTCTAAGGGCATATCATAAATGTGAACCCACATTCTTCTTGTCAACAATCAAGGTCTAAATTCAATTGTGAATCCACAACACAAAACCATGCCTTACAAATTCAACACAATATCAGCTCAAACGTTACACTGGGCCATTCAATAACACCATTCCTTTTCCTTGAAGTGTGGTAGAATGATCCATATGAATGCCAACTACCAGTCTAAGGCCAGAGTCACAAAGGTCACATGAATTCCCCTTTGTGGGTCATCATTCCACAGTAATTATATTTATTGGGGGATGCAGAGGAAGAGATACCTTCAATGCCATGCTCATCTCCTTCTCTCAGGATTGATTCTAGAGACAATAACAAGCCTCTGTGGTAACCCTCATCCATGACAGATTTATGGTGAAAGAGACTAGGGTTTGAACAGATGAGGTGTTAAATGCATTTGATGCAGGGGAGTTGTAAAGAGTTGTGATTCAGCCAGTGTCAGAAGATGATGATGAGAGCTGCTTCGCACGGAGAATGGAAGCGGCACTGGAATAGACGCTGCCGGCATGGGTTGTCTTGTCAAGTGGGATGATGATTGACGAGCCCGTAAGATTAATAAGCTCCATTCCTTCCATAGCGGGTAACTAAAGTTTTGTGAAGAGGACGATTCTGTAGGAGTAAAGGTTGTTTGAAGTTCAATAGTCACAAGAGGTTCAAGGAATTGTCGGGTCTTACCAGCAAAAAGCTTAAGACTCGCAGATGATTGTCGTCCGGGGGCTCAAATGAGGGTGCTGATCTAACGTTGCATACACAGCAGCTAGAAAAGCTACACTGATGACATACCGACCATGGTAGCATTCAAGTACTGAGCCAATCCACATGATTATATCTTAATTTCAAAGCCTGTATAAACATCTGGGGTCCATCGCATTGTTCAAAAAGTGTTTTTCCTCAACCTGAACCTACAGAAAAGGTCCTACACCCAAAAAAGAAAAAAAGATAAGAAATTGGAGAAATTAAAATATAATCGCCAAGGAATGTGCTAACATTCATTAAGCAATGGGAATAACGCCATCCTGCATCAGATGCTAAGAAATGATGCGTGTGATTCAGATGTTTCATAAGGAAAAATCTGAAATGACGATTCCCTCAACGAACTATAAGTATTTTGAAAAATAATAAAAAGAAAAAGAAAAAGAAAATTAAAATCAATCATTTAGCCTCACTGTCTGGAGCATCCTGGGTTGTCCATCATCGATCTGCTCCGGGCAAACTACGTCTGCATCGACCATAAAAAACAAAAACAAAAACAAAAATCAGGACTACTCTCATGAATATTCTGAAACTCTGGATTAGTCAAAACGACATGCAAATCATGATTTTAAATCAAATTTGAACGTGACTGATACGCACCGACGTTCTGTATGGAAGTCCCCGAATCTTGGATGATGAGGATGGCTCGAATGCCGAAACAGATGCAGGCGAACCGGTCAGGCCAGCAGCTTGACGTTGATAAAAGCTGGCTGCAGCTGCCGCAGCATTTTGCATATCCGCCCAGCTGCCTGTTGTGGCTTGAGCACCCATCAACCCCGTCATCCCAAAAGCCCCTGCGGCTGCCTGCAAGAATTGAGGACCAAGTCATCATATGATCAGGTACCAGCAAACCAGTAAGTGAGCGGTAGTAGGTCTTCTAAGTGGTTCATGGCCATAGTTTCAATCCTCAAGGCAGCATACCTGTTGCTGTAAAAGCAGCAGTTGAACACTTGGATCCATGGGCTGCCCCATACCGAAACTTGATAATCCTCCAGTAGCGAGCAGCATTTCACTACATTACCACAACAACAAAAAAATCACATGTAATGTACATGATAGGCTACACCTGGAAAACATACCGTCATTCTAAATGTGGTAAAGGTATCGAAACTGCCGCCGGTTTGATTACGTTAAGGAAGTATAAGCAGTTTCGACACTCATGAAGCAGTCTCACTTCATTGAAAACTGATATAACGAACTTGGGGAGAAGAATATATTTTTCATAAGATTATCTTGAAATGAACATGGATTTTCTTCGGGAACAATTATAGCAGAATTACAGTTTGTGAAGTACACAAAACATTCCAGGCTATACCTTTTAGTTGCTCTAAACAACTCTATGTAACGTGAGCCGATGTTCTGCCGGTGACGCTCCATTGCACGCTGGGCTTCATCAGAAGAAATGAACTCCACAAAAGCCTCACCGGTTGGACGATCTGTAGCTCCCATAACAATATGTATGCCATTTGGCAAAATATTATATCCCTCAAAAAAATCCATGATTTCCCTCTGACCAGCATTGTAAGGAAGTCCTCGCATTTTAATACAAACATGTTCAGATGTATCAGATAGGCCTTGAAGGCCCGTCATGCTTCCCAAGCCAGCGGCTTGTACAGCGGCTAGATTCATCCCCGTCAAACCTTGGACTCCGAAGGCACCCATCATTCCCGGGATCTGGCATCACACAACCACTTTAGTAAAGTTTCGACTGCCTCAAGTAAAAGAAACGAATTTTCTCTATACGATCACGGCCGGCAGGTTCTAGTATATCCGCTGGACATGAACTACATTTATTCCAGTTAAAATTTAGTTCTCTTACCTGGCCGACACCAAACTGGGAAAACCCTCCGGCACCAGAAAACATGCCATACATTCGCTGCTGCACGGCCGTCATCATTTCTCCTTTCGTGCTGCGAAAAAGTTCCACATAACGCTGTCCAACCCAACCCAACGCATCTCAAGGAATAAAGCCAAAATACAATGACTTCCGTTTAGCATAGATTATAAAAATTTAAAAAAAAAAAAAAAAAAAAAAGGCAAAAAGCTTACAATGCATGAAAAAGAAGCGAGGAACTCACCGATCCCATAGGCTCTCTGTGTAACTGCATCGCTCGCGCGGCTATTTCTTCATTTGCAAACTCAACAAATGCCTATCATACCAAAAATGCCAGAGATATCATATGAACTGATAATTCTACTCGAAGTCAAGCAAGACAGTCAGCCAAACAAGCTAAACCTCTAAACTCAAAGCATCATCAAACTAATATCAGGGAGTACTCACCTCCCCTGTTGGGCGCCCATCAGCATGGGTACAAAGGAAGATGCCATCGGCTACAACCTGCATGCCTTTGAAAAATGCTGTGATATCCGCAGACGTACAACTGTTCACACAAGCGACACATATTACCCGTCAACTCCCATATTTTAAAACAGCAACCCTAAATGAGAACCAACACATAAGTTACTACTTAAACATTCATAATAAAATATTACGCATTACTGACCTGTAAGGCATGCCACGCATGCGCACCACTCCAGTGTAGCGCATATCTGGATTTCCAGACATACCAGGAATACCCGTGTTGAGGATGCCTCCGGTAGCAACAGCACCACTCCCAGTCACAGTCCCACTTCCTCGCCCCACCATACGCAATGCTCCCTGTACACAAATTTCCACCTCAATCCACCAATGGATGCCATCACTGAATTTAAAAAACAAAGCCAGCGAGAACAGAAGGCATATCTATACATACACGCACGCACGTGTGTGTGTGTGTGTGCGTATACATGTGTATAAATACACGCACGCACCTGCATATCTGCTGGGTGGCCCTTGAAGACTTCAATATAGCGGCTGCCAATATGTTGCCTGTGATACAACAAGCAGAAGAAATACTAATAAAAATGCATTCTGCAACGAAATATGAGATTCGTTAAACGACTATGTATGTACAGTGCTCTTGCAAGAAAGTGGGTTCCTGAAGTATGAGTACCGATTTCGTTCGAGAGCCTTATTAGCCAGCTCTGCGGTGGCAAATTGAACGTAGGCTTGCCCAGTAGACCTTCCTGCGAATGAGTAAGTTGAGACGTCCATCGTTATAAAAACAGTGATGATAAAAGCTAAAAGTTGCGTCAAAATGGCTGCTAATTGATCAAGGCGAGCACTGCATGAAAGATGCACCTTGGAAGTTGACACAAATAACTACCCCATCTGGCCCCATCTCCAGCCCCTTAAAAAAATCTGCAATATCTGACTCAGATGCGCTGAAGGGAAGTCCCCGCAAGCGGACGACATTGCTTCGCTTCCTGAGAGACCACCAAGCAACACGAGAAAACGAAAGTCAATCGCCAAAAGCACTCTCATGTGCACACAACTACGTCATGATACAAGATAGACACTCCAACCCCAGAACTACAATGTTAACAGATTGTTCATGGAAACCAAAAGTTTTCCAAAGCCTCGCCAAGAGGGTGTTCTTTTTCTTGTTATGACACCAGAGAAAAAAGGACGCTGACAAACAAGAGGAAGAAAAGGGAGGCACTCATCCACAGGAGCCCATGAAAATGAAGTCACCCGGACCACAACACTCACAATTCATCATCGAGAGCACTTCCTCCCACAAGCCCTCCTATGCCCGCCATGCTGTGCCACCAACCCTAAAACCTCTGATAAGCTGCAAGCCAAATGCATGAGTCACCACAAGCAAGAACCCATGAGCCATCCAGCCATCCAGCCGACCATCCAACCAAGCAACCCTCCAACCAGTCAACCCTCACAACTACCATCCTCCATCTCTACGCCCTAAAACCTCCACCTCCTCTCTACCCTCGTTACTACACACCGCAAAAGCCCCGCCACCAATCAACACAACCACAACAAAAGCAATATCACCAAACGAAGAACCCTAACTCCATCGCCCAACCACCCAAACTCCTCCTGCACCATAATCCGCCCCTCTCTCCAAACCCCCTACGCCACACCCACCACCACCACCACCACTTCCCGGCCTCGCCTTCCCCTTCCCTGCCACCCACAGCACGTATCTCCTTCCCAAGAAGCATGACATACACAGCATCATCATCCACTACACTCACTGCACTACCCTTCCTTCCTCCATCTGCCTTCAATACACCCACCCACGACAACACAAGACAGCGAGAGACACACAGAGAACCAATTCCACCAACCTCTCTCACGCCTTGGCACCTCTACCTCCTCCTCCTCCTCCTCCTCGTATAACCACTGTTTCCCACCCCTCGGATACAAAATTCCTGTCAACACACTACAATTAAATGCGTTCGGGGCAAAACTCCCGACGAAATGAGTCCGCCGGTGGAACTGCGCAGCTTGAAGCTCGTGCAGGCGACACACAGTGCTGCTAAACGGAAATGCGAGTGACGATGCTGGAACAATAACGGTGGTTACAGACACCAGCCCCCTCCCCCCGCCCTTTCCTTCGTTGCGCTCCTCCGCCCCTCTCAGCCCCTTCGGCCCCGCCTTCGCCGAGGAGCTTGTCTTCCTTCCTTCTCCGCCCTCGCTCCCTCCCTTCCTTCCAAGAACTCCGTTTAACGTTGGGTTGATGCCCGGAATATCCTCTCCTGCTCCGGGCCTCAACTCCTTTTGTTTCTCAGCAGTTGGTTCCAGAGAATCCGGCTGCTGACTCGTGCGTTCAAAATCTTAGAGATTCTGCTCACAACTGACAACGCACAATCGGGAACTCCTCCTGGGAACGTAAAAAATGACCGTCATCCTGCATTCGTAAATCCCCACTCGGAACATTCAGCGATGGATGGTGTGAAATATACACATCCATGTTGAATTTTGTTTTTCCATTGCTTTTGTTCTAATTTCGATATTACTCTATGCGTTAATTTTGGAGTTGAATTTTTTTTTTCTTTGCAAATACTCTTAGTAGGCTGTGGTGACTCCACAATGTAGTACTCTCACTTTTATCTTATACATATATACTATTTTTTTTTCTTTCAAAAAAAAATCTGTTATTCATGGTTATATTTTCAAAAACTACAGTCTATGGTTGGTTTTATTTATTTATGATGATTTATAATATTTGATTACTAAAAATACAGGAGACTCATCCTCATTTGAGTCTCTCTTACCAATTTTTACTTTAATCATTTTTGTATTGCTTAGTGAAAATAAATATATATACATACATTAATTTTATTTTAGAAAGAAAAAAATAATCCCATCTAAATTTTACTAATCTTATTAATCATATACCAAAAGAAATCTTTCATGGCCTAAAGTTTGAATAACAGATATAATAAAGCCTAGTCGTATTAATATTTGTTGCATTATTAAACTATACAAGTAAAAAGTTTGGATTTAAATAAATAGCATATCCATATCATCCAATCTATTGTTTAATAAAAATTGCTTATTAATAATTTTATATTATAATTATATGTACTAAATAATCTTATTATGATAATATTGTTTAATCTAAGTTAATTTTGTACACTAATTATTAAGATCCTTCTTAATAGATAGATAATCTTATAGACTATTCTAATAATATTTTAATTTAATACCAATCATTTAAAATATAAAATATAATTAATAATAAAAATTTTATGAAACATTGATATTTTTCTACTAAGAATTTAAAATTCTAAGTTTTAAAAGAATTAAAATTAATATTATATTTTGGTATCTATTTATTAAAAATATATAAAGCCAAATTTAATTATTAAATAAATCTTATGATCAAATAAGTAGGAATCACAAAAAATAAAATAAATAAATAATAAAATAATAATTTTATATTTTTTACATGTATTGTAATTATTAATAATATTTATATTATATATACACTTAAATTTAATGTTTTAATTTTTTTTTTTAAAAAAAACAACAACAACAACAATATTAATGTAAAAAAATATTTTAAATTTTTTAATAACATGTTAGATTAATTTATAATAATTTTTATATATTATTAATTACTTTTGATATTTGATTGAGCTTTAATAGAAACTTTTTTAGAATTTATGAATGTACTTTTGAAAGTTGCAAAATGATTAGGTGTTACAAACATCCAACAAGAAGATTTTAAAAATATTCTAAAAATACTTTATTAGATTCAAGAAGATTTTTAAAGATTTCAAAAAGATTCTTAGAAGGTTTTAGAAGATTCTTAAAATATTCTAGAAAGTTCTAAAAAAATTAAGAAAATTATTTGAGAAGCTTTTTAGAATTGCTTCATCTTCAAGCAACATGAGAAATTTTTAAGATGCTTCTTAAGGTTGTTTCACCTTTAAGCAACATGAAAAATTCTTGAGAAATTTCTTAATATCTAGTATGTATTGGAGTCAAGACTAAGGAGATCCTCAATCTTGACAATATATTTCATGAAACTCTAACTTATTTTGTGGGGTATTGATCTCATACTCATCTCATTTAATCAAATTTTTATTAGCTTTCTTATTGAAACTCTTCCATTCAACTTCTTGTTTGATTTCTTATAAAATATATCCATAATAGTTTGTCAATACTACCCTCTTATCAATACTAGAATTTTGATCTTAGGCTATCTAATAAAAAAGTTATGAGTTAATTTACTTGGAATCTTCTTCACAAGACATGCTTTATTTTAATTTGCTCTTTTATTTGAAAAAATATTTCCAATCTTAAGATCAAGATATGCATATTGATGTATTACATGCTTTATTTTAATTAAGTAACTTTGAAGTTTTTTTAGAAGCATTTGTAGAAGTATTTGGAAAACATGTCAAGTCATACTTTGTATCAATTAATGCATTTATTTTTAGGCATTTGGCTGATAACATGAATTAGGATGAGCAAGCTCTTATGGACCAATTCTAAAAGAGACTAAGAAATGATGTGAAAGACTTAATACTATCATTACTTGATCTTCAAACACTCAATAAAGCTATCAACCAAGCTGTGAAGTGCAATAATTAATTATTTCAATGCCATCATGATTAACTCTCAAGAACTTTGAGAAAGTAATGCATTAGAAATTCGTACTCTATTGCTTCAATAAATATTATTTTACAATCTAAAGATCAAGATATGCATATTGATGTAGTGCAATTCAAACTTCTTACAACAGAGGAGAAGAAGTATTAATTAGAATAAGGTCTATGCTTGTTTTCATAGAGAAGAAGATCATAAATTTAGATATTATTAAAAAAATAATATATAACTAAAATTAGAAGTGTGATTGTTTAAAAAAAATAAAGATACATAGCCACAATATGGACCATGTCGTTGGACATTATAATACTTCAAATTCATCAAGGTCCTTCTCTCTCTATTCAATTAGTTTATTGTTTTATTGTGTCTTTAATTCTTAGTCCACAAAAACTTTAAACAAATGCCTTATTAGATGCAAAAGCATCTACTTGCTTTATAGATGAAAGTTTTTTAAAACTTCATAAAATTCTTTTATCTTGAGATGAATAGATGCAATATTTTAAATAATGTACAAACATTTTGAATATAATATCATGCCTTTTAGATAGACAAATGCTTTAATTTTATTCCAATATTTGATGAATGATGTTTTTTAAAAATTCTTAGATAAGTTTATTATTTGTTATTTTAATGATATCTTAATTTATTCTAAGATTTTTAAAGAACATAAAAAACATGTGAGATTAGTCTTGCAAAAATTATGAGATATAAGATTATATGCCAAATTAGAAAGATTTGTATTCTATCATCCAAAAGTAGAGTTTCTTAGATATATTATATCTAATGAAGGCTTGTTAATGGACCCGAAGAAAGTCCAAGCTATAACAAAGTGAGAAATTCCAAAGACAATACAAGATGTATAATATTTCTTTGAATTTGTTAATTTCTATTGGATATTTATCAAGAATTATTCCTAAGTTGTTGCTCATTTTACTTAGTTGACATCCAAAGATAAATTAGAATAGGAACTTCAAATACAAAGAACTTTTCAAGATTTGAAGGTAGCTATTATTATAGCTCCAATCTTAGTGCATTTAGAATTTACAAAGGCCTTCTATATGGAGACCAATGCTTTTGATTTTGCATTAAGAGTTGTACTATCATAGATGGAAAAAAATGGAAAGTTCTACCTACTTGCATTCTATTCTAAAAAGTTTTTAATTGTAAAGATTAATTATAAGATTCATAACAAAGAACTTTTTATAATTATAGATTCTTTCCAAGAATGATGTTATTTATTAGAAGGCACTATACATCTTATGATTGTATATATAAATTATAAAAATTTGAAGTATTTCATGTCAACTTAAATTTTGAATTGCTGCTAAGCTTGTTGGAATATGTTATTGTCTTGTTTTGATTTTATGATTATATATTAAGTAAAAAACTGGCAAGGATTATCAGACGCTTTATCAAAGAGATGATATCTTACTCCAAAGGCCAAAGAAGCAATATTTGATCAATAATATATCAATTTCTTTATGCCAAAATAATTTCATCTTTATTACTACTTCTATTATTATACTTATTGATTCAAGTTTCTTGAACAAATTTGTAGAAGATTAAGTAAAGATTCATTGGTTTATAATATCAAGCAATGCCTTGACAATGACAAGTTCAATTTTGTGAAAGATATTTTGTATTGTAAACATCATTTATATATTCTAATTCGACTAACTTGACTTTCTGTTATTTAATCTTATCATGATTTTCTAGTTGCAAGACATTTTGTATTTAGCAAAATATTAAAACTTATCTCTTCATAGTTTTGGTGGCTTCAAATGTGGAAGACTATGTAAGATTCTGTCTTTTCATGTGACATTTGTTCAAGATCTAAGAATTCTTGACATCATTCTTATAGACTTCTACAGCCACTATTAATTTTGAAGTGACCATGGTCTTCAATATCAATAGATTTCATCATTGATTTACTTCCATTAGCTACATTTGATACTATCTACGTTGTTGTGGATTGACTTATAAAAATGGCACATTTTGTCTTGTGTAAGAAAAAAAAAAAAAAAAAAAAAAAATTGAGGAGAAAAGGCAAGGCTCTTTTCTGACAATATATATTGATATCATGGCCTATCCAATGACATCATTTTTGATTGAAGACCTCAATTTATATCAAAGTTTTGGAAATCTTTTTTTGAAATATTGAAGGTGGATATTAAACTTTCTTTTGCCTTCTACCTTCAAATAGATGGTCAAAAAAAATAAATTAATCAAGTTTTGGAGCAATATTTGTGATGTATCATCAACTAGTAATAAGATGATTAGACCTTATATTTACTTTTAGTAGATATTCTTCATGTTTCAACTTAGAAAATACCATTTTCTTCCAATCATGGTTACTATTCAAAGCTTGATTTATTAAGTATATCAAAAGATAAAAATCTAGCAACTAAAGTTCTTGCCAAACAATTGTCACAATTCTAGACAATTTTGAAGCTCCATTTATAAGTAACTAAAGTTTCTTATAAAGAATCTTCAAAAAAATTTAGAAAAGAATTCCTTACTTTTTAAA